TAAGCGGAAATAGTTTATGTAAACTTGTGTTGGGAACGAAGGGGGATTTAATTATGTATCAGATGAGATATTTACCAATTCAATCCAAAACAGATCCGTCAAATAAGGAAGATGATAACACTCATTATAGATTAACTATTTCATATAGTTATAATTCTTTACCAGAAGATGAAGTTGACAAACTTACTTATAGAGATGACGATTCACCTGAAGCGAAGTTTCCCAATGAAGTAGATCCCAAAGATATTATAAACGATATTAAGGAGAAATTAAGGCAATATCGTCCAAATAATGAGTTAACGGATTTATTAATAGAGCTTTGGTCATTGGTTCCTACAACGAATGATTCAACTATCTATTATCCATTTAATACATATCATAAACCTAGAAGACGACCAGTGAGAGTTATTGATCCATGTTCAATTGAAAAATGGCCTACCACAAGAGTTACTTTGTTGGGTGATTCAATACATGCGATGAGTCCTTGGCCTGGTTTAGGGACAAACACTGCAATGAAAGATGCCTATAAATTATCACAGTCTTTATTTAAATGGAGTGATGATGCAGCAGGAAATGATGATTGGAAAAGTTGTATTGAAAGGTACGAAAATGAAATGAGATTATATGGATCTGAAGCTACTTTAATATCTATAAATGAAACTATGAAATTTCATACTAGATACAATAGTAAATTTAGCGTTTTTATTAGAAATATGACTTATAAAATTATGCATATTATTTCTAAATTAGTTTATCTATTTAAGAAATTTAAAAAGACATAATAAACATTTTTAACATTTTAATATGTTTACTTAACATATAAACTAGATTAACGCCTGTCATTCATGGTGGACACTTTTACTAGTATATTTATAAAATGAAAACTAATTTATTTAAGTTAGTAAATAGGGATGATTGTTAAACCTCCCAAAACAAAATAAAAAATTAATCTACTACCGTAAAATCTTGAAATAGCGTGCATGGGCGTTATTGGAAAATCGCGCCCCCTAAAAATAACATATGTAGATTCAAAATAATGCCCATGCGCGTCCCAAATAAAGCGCACCCACTATTACGTATTTTGAAAAAAGCCAGGTTCAAAAATGTGAATGTTAAAAAGTCCGTTCGGTCTAATTTAGCAATTTAACATACAATATAGATATAACC